ATTCACATTGATACGTGAGTAATGAGTGAAAAAACTAAAAATATTACAATCTTTTAATTCTCAATAATTTCTGGTTGTACTGTATGTTCCTGGTCAGCGAGATGTCAGACCACTTACATTTCATTTATTGCTGTTTGCTGACCTGTTCCAACATTCGCGATCGCAACGCCTCACATGCTCACTATAAAATAGACATGAGTGAAGGAAAATGTATTTGGGCTTCCAAATTGAGAAACGTGGTGTCTAAAATGGGATTTGGCTATGTTCGGGATAACCAGTCCATTAGTAATATTCAGTCGTTTTTGTCAGAATTTATGGATAGAGCTACATGTCTTAATCAGCAAGATTGGCATGCACCTGTGTCACAAGGTTCCAGAACATATAAATATTCTATGTATAAGTCTAACTTATATCAAGAGGGTTATAACAAACATATATAAGTATTCAGAAATTTCGTGTCGCTTAAGCTAGGTTTAGATGTAGTTCTCACTAACTGAAAATTGAGATGGGTTAATACTCAAATGCCCAAAGAAAAGAAAGATTTTTTTATGTTTGTCAAATGAACTGTGTCGAAGATGTGTACCATACCATTTGTATGCAAGGCGTATGTCGATTTGCGTGAACAGTTTATACCAAGGAAATGCTATGTGTTTCCAACATTAGGTAAATTTAATCTCTTAATGTCCAGTCATAGAATTGATCTTATAAGAAAGTTGGCTATGCATGTTTATACGTCTATGCAATTGAGGACAAAACTGTGTATATAATAATGTAAGCAACAAGTATTATGACTGCTGTATAGCTACTGTGCCATGGGTGGATGGCCTACGTCTATTTGTTGAATAAACCAAACCGTAGTTATAAGTATTCCACCCACATTTACCCATTACAATTAGCATTGCGTTCACTACGGTGCTGGACTGAACTTGTTCAACAGTTTTTTTTGTCACTGTTAATTGACAAATCGATATTTCAAGTTAGACACTGGCAGGTGACTCTCCTTGTATTTCTCCGTTACCCGTCCAGTATACATGTGGCCTTATCACCCTGTAAGAATATCTATGACCTTATCGCGCTATCTTCAGATAGCCAAGTGATCCGTCCAGTAAAAATATAACCATGCACCCCCCTGTGCGAAATACGCATTATGTCGGCGCACGTTAAATCGCCAAATCATCTGCATGTGGTCAAGGTGAGGTGAAATTGGGTTTAACGTGGTACTTGAGAATATTTCGCTCATATGACGACGTGCATGCGTGTGTATGTGTATGTGCGGCTGCTTGTACTAGCCCAGACTTTAGCTGGTTTTATAGTGCTAGCCCACTGAGATACCATGCCGCAGTGAAGCATGAATACCCCACTCAGACACATTATACTGACTCCGAGCCGAATAGTCCTTGTTGTACCCATTAATGCCGAGCGTCAGGCAGGGCCCAACAAGTACCATATTTTAACGTCTTTTGGTACGTGGTCGGGTCGTGGTCGGGGATCGAACCCGCGACCTTCCGCTCTCCGGGCGGACGCTCTAACCACTACACCACGGAAGCGGTCGGCATGTGGTCAATCGGATACAGAACACTAAAACGAAGTGCTAAAATGTATGTAAGGAATATTTAAACGCTGTAAATACCGGAAATATAAATAGACATTTTCGTTCTTCGTGATATATTCTTATTCTATGAACATATGTAAGGAATATTTCCATGTTGTGAACAGCAGAAAATTAAACGATACTTCTTACTTCATGTTATATTTACCCATTGCATGGATTTATGTTAGTTTCAAAGAGACATCTTTGAGTGGCATTTTAGAAGTTAGAAGTCAGATAGAACAAGTATACATGGATGCACGACGTTTCGATACAGGTTCTTGTATCTTGCATTCTCACTTGAAAATGATGCAAGAACCTGTATCGAAACGTCGTGCTCTAGAATAAAAGAAGTTGTCATCCATATATACTTGTTCAATTCAAGGAGACAGTACAAGCAATGACCTTGTCACCCCGTGTGGGCTTAGTTTCCATGTACGTCTAATGCAGACATTAGTTCATCTATGTGCTCATGCGAGGTATGCCATTGCAGCATTAGTTCAGATTTATGTCAGCGGCTTGTAGATAATCGACTCTGGACCAAAGAAACCCGCGACGAAAACGATAAACAAATACTCCACGCCGTCGGCGCAAGCTGACATACAATCAATCAATCACAGACCCTGACAAATTGCCCGCCCTCAGACGCACTTTGCACTACGCAGGGATCGTTTCCTCTCCAATCGGATAGTCCATTTTCAGGAGCACGTTCCACTGACACAAATTACATATAGTGATAACAAGGTTATTAGATTCAGTGATATATTCACATCCGTTCTACTTTCCTTGGAACTCTTCAAGGAATCCCCATATTCATTCAACACCGTCTAATATAATTCTGTACTCAGTGCTGTCTCTTTCCCGGAAATGTGACAACAACATTACACTGAAATACATCATAGGGAGGCTGAGTGACTCAGTTTGGCATGACCAACCTTCTTGTTCCACATTTTGTTCCATATCAAAGACGTGACACCTCTTCGTTTCTCTTTGACCTCCCGACGCAATGAATCTTACTTTAATTTGTCAAAGCGGATCTGAAGCTACCCTCGACACTTACAGCCGTATCTATATTTACAAGGTGGCGTGGGGTGTGTTGCAATTACGATCTTTGATGTCAACACATAGCATTGTATGATTCTCAAAGCTTAGGATGTGACCACGTCTCTTCCTTTTCCAGGCGACTAATGTAATGTAATTTTCAATAAAGGTCTCCGTGTGGTATTGATGTCCCTGTTATTAGCGATAATGTACGTGAATTAGGGCGCAGGCCATGTATAGTGAGTAAGTCTCCAGCGGAGAACGATGAATTGCACAATGACACACAATCCGGAGTAGTGAGTGAGTGAGTGAGTGAGTATGGCTTTACACCGCTTTAACCAATATTCCAGCAATATCACGGCGGGGACAGCAGAAATGGGCTTCACATATTGTACCCATGTGGGGAATCGAACCCGGCTCTTCGGCGTGACAAACGAACGCTTTCACCACTAGGATACCCCACCGCCCCACGTAATACAAAAGCGTATACACATGTATCAAAACATAGTTATTAAATCTGTGGCCTCTGATGATATTTATGACACTGTTTGATTTTTGTACACTGACCCATTATAACCTCTGTGTTTAAACTTATTAAAATGATTGTTTTCTGTTTAAAATCTAAGTCAATGAGTGAGTCGTGCTATCAACCACTGTTTTGTCTATGATCTAGGCTCGAACCTGTAATACAATATATAGTGAGTGTGTTTCCGTATCATTAATGTCATATATCAGGAATACAAATTGTATTATGCGAGCCTTTGGCTTTGTTTGTGACTATTCGCTGATACAGTGCAAACACATAACTCATGCGTAAAATATGATCTTTCTGTCTTAAAAAACAACACAATCGGGCAGGGTTTTCTTGGGAGTGTTTCTTTTTTCACTGCGGGTAATCACCTCATCAATATCTGTTTCTGATACCTGACGGTATCGATTCGTCTTCTGTATTGTGATCGATAGATCGAAATCCTTGGTTGGTACCTTTCTTAGACGATTGCCTTTCAGTCGTGCCTCATAATCCGTACCTTCAATTTGACCGAAGTACTCCGTTTCATGTTTTCCAAAGTCCATTACTGCAGTAACGACTCCAGAACCTCTGTCATCAATTCTAACAGAATCACCAATTCTGGGGGCAGCCATGTTTGTTTACAAACAATGTAAACTCGCGACGACATCATCAATGAAATGTTAAACGTTTCAGGATTTGCATGGCGTGTATGGAGTAGTTCGTGGATTGACATAATTTGCATAGTTATCAGATTTGAATTCCAAGTTTATCAGATTGTTTTATTGCATCAAAAACACCCTCCGTTAGATGATAAATGTATGTAATATTTTATGGCGCATAACTAAACAATGTCATTTGACCATCTATTGATCAGTCATTTCACGGAGATGCATTTGTACCCAATGCAGGTTAATCATGCAGCCCGGTTCGAGTGTTTTTAATGTATGCCTAATGCTAGATAATACATAGCTGACTATGCAAAGACCATGTTTGATCAGAACTTCACATGTTAATATTTCACCAATTCAACAGTTTCAGTCGTGTGACTGACCCAAACTATACCTCAGTTGCCACAATAGACTTGTATGATTCATAATGTATAGCTCTATCTGTGTTGTAAAAAGACAATATCCGTTGCTATCATTACTGAAACAGGTTGAAGTATTATCTTAGCTCATATCAATATCTCATAGTTAGATAGCATATACGGAAGCATTTTGGTTAAATTGAATCATTATTGAGTATGTTTCTTTTGAACTTCAGAGACGATTTCATTATGGCTATACCTTTTTCGCCGAAAATGATGTATCAGTAAATATATGAACTTATAGTTCCCTGTACACGACCGGTCATTTAAAAAAATAACATAAAAAGGTGCGTTAGTGAGTTGAGTTGAGTTGAGTTGAGTGTTACGCCGACTTAAGCAATATTCCAGCAATATCACTGCGGAAGACACCAGGAATGGGTTTCGAACATTGTACCCATGTGGTGAATCGAACCCGGGTCTTCAGCGTGATGAGCGAACGCTTTAACCACTAGGCTACCCCACCTCCTTAAAATGAAAAGGAGTGTATACAACAAAAAGTCCAATATGTTATTATTATTGCTTCATGATATAATAACATAGTAATCGATGTCATGTAGAATAATCCACCTCACACCATAGAATTAACAAATGAGAAATGGTCCCACTGTGCTCTTTAAATACTCAGGGTAATCTGTTTGCTTTCAGATAGTCATCGAGCGACGCCTGATTAAGAACGGTGTAAAGAGGAAGCAGAGAGGACGTATCGCCAGGAGAGCCAAGGAGCGGGAACGCCATGCAAGCGATGGCAAATCACAGTACCGATGCACCGTCGCTCTGCCTAGCGAAAACCGTTCGATTTTTCTTCCCGGAGACTTTCATAACGTTTTCAAATAACAGTACGTTCGATGCTAGGCTAACATTTGAGATGTCCCCTCTGGAACAGGTGGTCCGTTGTATGCAGGTGTTCATTGTTCCAATACTGAGCAGTCTGGGGATTCTCGGATCTGTGCTTTGCTGTGTGGTGTTCTTGAAAACACGACTTCGGAAAAAGTTTTACTCTCACTTCCTTGTATGTGTATCAGCGTCAAGTGGGGGATTCCTGTCCACTGTGATGACCACATGGCTGAACGGTCAGGGCGTGGACGTCTACAGTGCTCCCGGATTATGCCAAATAGTTGTGTTCTCAAGCCACTTTTTCCCTCTATTGACCTTCTGGAGTACCCTAATCGGAGCCTATTTGATTCTATGGGATTCTCTAAAACAAAGGAGCCTTGCCTGGATGAATAGTTCCAGCACAGCTAAGTGTATTATAGTTGCTATGGCAATTTCTGGATTCACAATGTACTCGTACAAGACGTGGACAAACGGAACGATATCCGTTAAGGGGTACAGGGTCTGTTCTGTTTTACCTGAGAACGAAGCTGCAATGGCAGTGTTGAATGTGCTTGATATATTATTCCTTCTGATACTACCCTCGGTGTTCTTCTTGGTGTTTGACATTTTATTCATTATTACAAAAATGTCAGGTCGATGCAAAATTCATAAATCGGAATGCTCCAAACGGCATCGCGAAGTTATGAAGCTTGTTCTTGCCCATTCTATAAGTTTTCATATACTTGTTACACCAAGAGGTGTCTCCATGCTGGCCTTCATAGCAAATCGTTGGATATATGGAATATTGCCATCTTTTAATGAGATTTTAACTCAACAAGTATTTCAATTTTTGTTCTATGCCTACTTTGCTGTTTTGCCCTATTTGCCTTTGCTCGTATCCGAGAAATTTCGATTTTATCTCCTGCTTTTGTTAGGGTTTAGGCCTGCGAGAAGGAGATGTGGACTGTATCCAATGCGGCGCCAACCATCCTTTCTCTGACCAAAGGCTGTCAACCGACTTCTGTCTTTTCGCGTTGATCAAGCGTGTCTTCTGTATTCTGGTTCAATGAGACATGCGAAACATTTATTGAAACTACTTTGAAAACCAGAGATAGTAGAGACATGAGAGGACATTTATACAACATTTAATCACTAAATCTTTTCGACCTTCGTCTTAATTTCTATATTTAATAACGTTAATATTCGTCTGTAACTTGTGAAATGTACTACGTGTGCCTTATGTGGCTTGCCGACAATCATCAGCTCCCTGAAACCAATGGTCTGTAATCAATTTGGATGATATTAAACGTTGTGTGGCATTATTGTTAATGCTTTTGTAATCATTGCTTTGATAGCCTATCCATGAACTCGTTAAGCTGGAAGTCCTTGGCTAAGGTTCCCAATCGATAGTTTGGCTTCAATCAGATATTTGCTACATGATGCGATATAATTATAGTCATGTCTTGGAATTCTTGTCAGGTGACATTTCAGATATCTCATCCCTTGAAGACAAACCTATAAGTACAATCGGTAATGTTACAGTATTCCGTTATCCGTGGAGTTCAATAATAATGTATCTACATTTCGGATTGGAGTAATATATGACATAGGATTTGTATGCTGGAATCATTACGTCTTACTAGATTTAGTCGAACTAGACGTTTGTGACTTCAGTATAAAACGTCAGTGCAAATGTGTCTTGACTGTCCCCAGAAACGGATTTCATTTAGGGAACATCAATTGAATTAATGCCCTATGAATGTCACTGCGTTTGTTCGTTTGAACAATCGTTATTGCGACATTGACATGGTTATTTTAGTGATAGAAAATACATTAAATGTCAATGACTTGTCAAGGGAATACAGATGCAAGGGGCTGACGAAATCGACCTTTAAACTTACACAAGCAGCCATCTTTGTAACAGTACAATCGAAGTCATGATGAGTTAGGTGACTATTTTTGTATGGATTTGACTTGAACCAAAGCCCCAATCAGAAAATATCACACACAAAGCAGCTGATTCACTTCAGTTTTCGCTGTTTTCACAAACTCAAATAATGTTATAAAACTGTAGAAATCATCAATCAATTTTCAAAGGACACTTGATCATTCGCATGTAATGTCATTTGTGAACTCTTATTGACAGAACAAAACATTTCTCTAAGTTCATTCATAAACGTCGTTGCAACGGAAACTATAGAAATGGGAATTAGGTTTGACCAAAGAATGACAAACGCCGTAAAACAATTGAAAACAAAGCATAGATACCACGATAATATCAACTACATCACTAGCGAATAACCATGTCCTTAGTTCTTTTCTACGAGTGAGTGAGATTAGTTTTACGCCGCTTTTAGCAATATTCCAGCAATATCACGGCGGGGGGACACCACAAATGGGCTTCACACATTGTACCCATGTGGGGAATCGAACCCGGGCCTTCGGCGTGACAAGAGAACGCCTTAACCACTATGTTACCCCACCGCCACATCTTTTCTACGAACCATCATGATCAATCATGGTTTAGGTTCCAGTGAATTACTTAACATCCTGCTCTATGCCTACGTCATGAACTGTTTCCCTACCAAACCATACAGGTTCAGTTAGAATACACAGTTATGGGAAGGTTAGACAATGTTTAATGGTGTTGTGAGGAATATTTCAGTCATATTCAATCGTGCTTTTTAAATATGGCAAATGTCGAATACATTTACTGGCTTGATGGAACCAGGAACCAGGGTAATGGTGCTGACAGATAACGGAACATGATCGGATGAAATATGGATTCGACACCAGCAGTCATCAAACAACGCTAACATGGCAGTAGTTTTGCTCATATTAGCTAACCACCATACTACTAGGCTTTTACCTAGCTTCTGCACATACATATACAATCAGTTTGTCAAAATGGGCCTCTTGGTGTTTTGCTTATGTGTCAATTCATTTATTGATGTCTTTCTATTGTGTAAGGGTGTGTTTAGAATGCTAAGTGAGCACTTCCATAAAAGGGTAGAGTATATCACGTGAATTGGTTTGGTTGTTGTTTAACGCCGCTCTCAGCTATATTCCAGCTATGTGAAGGCGGTATGTAAATAATCGAGTCTGGACGAGACAATCCAGTCATGATTGCAGGAGCATCGTTCTACGTAATTGGGATATGATGACATGTTTCAACCAAGTCAGCGAGCCTGACCACCACATCCCGTTAGTCGCCTCTTACGACAAGACTGGATGCTGAAGACCAACTCTAACCTGGATCTTTACGAGTCGTATATGTCGCGAGGGTGATATGAATGCCTTGCATTTCTTAAATATTTGTGGAAGCATATATAGCTAATGTCACCAGATTTAACACAGCAGCAATGACGTGTTGCAATTATATTGTGCAATTATAGGACGACAAAATTTGCAATCTCCTCTCTCATTCCATCTGTATGTGAATAATGTGGCTTTTAAGTGGATTCCACTAACATTAAGTTTTCAAAAACCAAAACACAAACCTATTTAAAATACGATTTCTCTCTCGTACTGATCTTCCTGGGAAGTTTTATCAAAATGATACATATTTGTTAGAGAAAGAAACTTTGAACTTTGACGTTATTGGTATGCGCGATAAAATGGCGGACCAGTTGTTAAGGAGAATAGGTCCACGAAATCTTCCATATAATCATTTTTAAGTTATAGGTAAATTCATTTCCGCAATGTTGAGCCTTTTCGTTCACAAGCCATGATATTTGCAAAATACTAATGGCAACATTTTAGTGTTGACTCATGGTTATGGAGAAAACTGGCCGAATATGTCACGGCTGGATCACAGAGTTCGCATCAGAAGTGTCACAAGCCAATATCGTCGAGGAGTTTCTTATGAGATTGTCATTTATTGACCATTTTCGGGCGCTGCATGCAGACAGGAAAATGGTAGTGCGGGCGACTTCAATCGGAAAGCTTTCGTCATTTATCAAAGGGTTCGCTTTATGTTTGATATGTTAAAAATCGCTTGAAGAATGATCGTGAAGTATTCGCTGTATACTTAATACACACAGTTTGATGAGAAAATAATTGAATGACAATTCCCAGGTACCGATACATTACATTCAAAGACTGGCATCAATGGCATCCCATCAATAACGTTAGCGTGGATTGTTCTCTTGAATGTCCTCATACATTACCAATGTGGTTCCAGTAAGTGGGTCTATATGACACGACCGTCAATGAAGTGCCGACTCAGAATGCCCACATCCTACCTAGTTGTAAATTTCTGTCCCTAAGGCAATACTCGAATGTGCGCTGTTGTAATAACGCTTATTTCGAGTGAAACAATCTGAAAAAAGCGCCAGAACACTTTGCACAATCCTACGAAATCGCGTCCATTGTACGATTCCTCTATACTGTAAGGCTTGTAAAGCATCTGGCGATAGGATTATTTGATATTGATATTTGATATCAAGCCCTGCTGGTGCATTTAACCACGCAATTTGAACATCGTTTCCTTCAATAATTAAGCGGCAGGATCCTTTTCATAAACATAATAGTGCTGATCCAGTTGCGCATTCCTACTGTGCAATAAGCATGCGTTTATGCATCACATGTGTGTTTATACACGCAATCTTCACGAGAAAACCTGTGATTGTGACTCCTGAGACGATGTTAGACGTTTCCCCTACTCAGTCTTTCTCACACGAGTTACAGCTTTTGTCATATGAAATGATTATAGCTATATTTTCATGACAGCGAATGGTAATTACCACGGGCATGCATGTACTTTTCATTGTTTAAATGTCATACCAAATGTCTTTACAAAAGAACAAGAAGATCACGATATGTCAGTACGCCAGTGATATAATATAATGTAATTTAAATTAACTTAGATTAACGTTTGAATTGATATGAATTTGCTTGTGCTTCACTGGTGAAACCTGAGAGCACGAATATGTTGCCGAGAACCCAGAAAAACATTCAGGTGAACCGGGAATGGAACCAATGACCATAGTTTAGGCTTTCGGCATTTGTACAAGCACACACGTCTTCCAAGCCAATTGGTCACCAGTGAAATGATAAACGTATACCATCATCGGCTAGTACTAATGTTTAAGGTAATGAAGGAGCTTGTATCAATGTGTTTGCAAACATCGCACTGTCAGTGATCTGCGGATGCACATGACCTTATGTTTCTTATAAAGATGCCAACAACATGGTTGCCACGAATCCTATATGTCTGATTCAATGTCAGATGAATAATGCTATCACATGTCAATCGTCGTAACAAATACATGAGCAAAGTTGTATCCCTTCGCTCAGTGTTTGCATGTTAATGTAGATAGCCATCACCTAGTTCACAATCACAGTCTGAATGTTCTCAGCTACAGTTTATTTCATACCGTTTGGTTAGCTTCACATGTTGTTAGTTTGCCAGTATATTCAGTAGTACAAGTACATCGGAATCCAAATATATGTCTGGCATATATACTGAGTCAAAAAAGAAACGTCGCAAATTGTAATGTGAAAAATAATGAATAATTTTTCTCTGATGATACATCTATGTATCCGAAATGGGATCCCTATCTTTCGACTCTAGAAAAACGTTAGCAAAACCCACTCAAACCCATCCATTCGTCATGCAAATGACGTTAGTGCCAAATCAGGTTTTGCACGTGCAGTCGATCACGTGATCTTCGCATCGAAGTTTTCTTCATATGCACGTGTTTGCATTGGCCTCAAGAATTGAAAAAACACTTTTAAACCACAGTTCTAACGGTACTTGAAATGCCATGATTGTCAAATGTGCAACGTGAACGTGCCGTTGGCATGTTGCAAGCGGGAAGATCAGTTATTGACGTCGCAAGAGCAATGGGATGCAGCTGTCGTACTGTGTATGACTTGCGAGGTCGTCTACAACAAACTGGCACCACTTCTGATCGCCCAAGGTCGGGTCGTCCACGTGTGACGTCACGAGCAGAAGACCGTCAAATCGTCCTACGTCACCTACGTGACAGATTTCTGCCGGCTACACGAACCAGGGATGAGATGTTTAGAGGTCGACTGTCCTCAAAGACCATTCGAAATCGGTTGCGGGCTGCCAGTCTCCATTTTCGACGTCCATATCGTGGGCCAATATTGACGCCGTTTCATCAACGTCAACTTCTGCTGTGGACCCAGAGAGACTGGAATCGAGTCGTCTTTAGCGATGAATCCAGGTTTACCCTCAGATTCGCGGACGGCAGCCATAGAGTCTGGAGACGACGTCTTGAACGGTATGCCCAATGTTGTGTACAGGAAGTCGACAGATTCGAGGGCAGGAAGTTGTATGGTGTGGGGTGCTTTCTGTGGGA